ATAATGCATGAGTGAAACAGCAGGTCGCAGGATTGGTGATAAGTGAATATTGTGTATACATCGTTAACATAGAAACAATGCTGCACTTCAGAAATTTCTGAGTCCAAATGCCAACTTGTTGACCAATCCAACCCGGTAGCTGGTAAAAACACGAAATGTTGCCTAGGGCCATGTGCACTTTCTGCTAAACTTCTTCCGTAAATATATGTTGTTACCTTGTAAAGCACAATATAACATAAATATGAGTGATACAGTTGTATGAGATTATGTTGAGAGATGTGTGAGATTAGAGATACGAGTCATACAGTAGATGTTTTGTGCAGAGTGAGAAACCATGAGGATAGGCATATAATCAATTGCTATACACTGGTAGATCATAAAAAACAAAACAACGGAGCAGCCAAAATGCCTTTAAAACTTTTTTACCCCTTGAACTAGACGGTCAATAAACCTTTGCAAAACAATATTGTGGGCGTTTCACTGAAGATCTTCTATAAATGGGTCCAATGAATCTAAGTTATTAACTGCGGTTGATCTTTATGTTTAACTGCAAAGACATTGCCTGAGTGTTATTGGGGTGGAAAGGGTAGTACTAGATCAAGGGTTCCAATCTCTTTGCGTTCGGTTGTAGGCAATTTTATGAAGCCAAATTACAAAAGAAAATATGCGGTTTATCTTTAATCATCATGCTCTCCCTGTTTCTTAGGATATGAACTCTAGCTGATTTTTCACTTGTTGAAACTCAAAGTACAGGAAACTATATTATTTGCAAGCTTTTCTGGTTATCAGCAAAACTTGGCAACAACAGAGTACTGTTATAACTGAAAATTAGTTCTCCAAACGTTTCTTGAAATAATTGTTTCATATGTCGAGGAAGTGAGTAATTTGAATAGGGAAGGGTCGAAAAAAGTAAAGTTTTGTTACGACCTGAAATAAAAAGGGAAAAAAATCCCAACATTCATCTTGCTTACCTCTCTCCTCGAGGTCTCTTTCTTGACTATTGTGCCCTAAGGATTCGTGGTACTGAAATATTTGATCCTAATGGAATAGAAAATTGGGTTTAGAAGGGTAGTTTCGTGGTAAATTTGAACAATGGTTGGTTGAAAATAGTGGAAGCTACGTGTTTGTTATGAAGTTGGCTTGAATTTATGCTGCAAAAAATGTGGTAAAGGCAATTCTCATGTCCGCAACAGATATTGCTGTTTTAAAATTGTAGGAGCATGAACATAGTTGGGTTCAGTTGGAATTTCAAAATCTGAATTCCACGAGTTTTAGTGAGAGAGTTATTTCAACATGACACAACAGGCAAACAGCCCTCAACTATGACTGTGTTCATATTCTGCATAAGAAACTCCTTGTTTCTTTCCTCTCTGATTCCATTCTTTGACTCATGTTATTTTTGTTTTCTTCCAGTATGAGCAGATTGTTCCTGAGTATTTAATCCATTTTAGTTTTGTCTAACTCCGGAAATTTGAAATCAAGAGAATCTTTTATTGCTCCTAGTGTCTGATATTTATGCTTTCTTTTCCCTCTGACTGATGTTACCATCTGCTGTTCTTCTGTTACAATCTTGAAGGACATGGATTCAGGTGAAATTGTGGTGTCTTCCATTCGAGCAGGGATGAAAAGGGAGTTTGCTTTAATGATGAAGGCACAATCACAGCTGGGTGGGCTTTCAGCAAGCAGAAGGAGAGTGACCAGGTCCCAGAGTTCTGGTTGTTCCAGCAAAGGCGTGCATGGTGATGTTACGATTAGTAAGAAAGCGAAAAGGTCTGATTCAATGAAAATAAAAAAGGATGCAGAAGAAACATTGGGAAGGGAGGCTATGAGGAAATTGGAGCTAATTGATATTTCAGATGGAGAGGAAGGGGCAAAGGTGGATGTGATAGGTGTAGGCACTAATGTGAGGGATGAATGTCGAAGTTTAGAGCCTGAGTTGGTTGCTGCTGTTGATAGGATCGAGGAAGAGAAAGAGGAAGAGGAAGTGGGGTCTGATTTTAGGGAATGCACCTTGCAGCCTTTGGTTATGCAATCACCATTTCCTCAGGTTGAATGTAGTGATAGAGATTTTATTCATGAAGATGATAGAACACTTGGAGGAGCTTCTTACTTAGGATGTGAAATAACTGGAGAGGCTACAAGCAGTTTGACAGATAAGCCATTGAGGAGAATTACTCGCTCGGCTTTGAAGCTGCAGGATGAGGAGATGGAGTTAGGATCAGGTGCAGGAGTGGTAGAGAATGACAGTTCATTGACTTTGACCACTAGTCCTTCAAAGTTAGAGCTGAAAATGTCCAAGAAGGTGGAACTGAAAAGAGTTCCCAGGAAATTAAAAGATCTTCTGGAGACTGGGCTGTTGGAAGGCCTCCATGTTCAGTATGTTCAGGGATCGAAGGTAATTTATTTGGCAATTGGTTTGCTTTGTGTGTCCTATTTTATATATATGTGACTGGTTTTCCTCTTTCCTCTTAACATTGACTTTTCAGGGGAGGAGGCGACCAGAATCTGAACTTCAAGGAACTATTCAGGGAACTGGAATATTGTGTTCATGTGACGAATGCAATGGAAGTAAGGTAAATGCTCGTATCACTACTTATTACCAATTAGTTTGGATGATACCGTTCTACTTACTGTTGACTTTTTTATTTTATTTGATATAGGTCGTCACTCCTAATCAATTTGAATTGCATGCACATAGTGGAAACAAACGCCCTCCAGAATATATCTATTTGGATAATGGGAAGAGTCTCAGAGATGTTCTGAACGCATGCAAAGTCGATCTATCGAACTCACTGGAGTTTGTTATCCAGAATGCTATTGGTCGTTCTGTTTATATTACTGCTTTTTGTATCAGTTGCAAAGGTGATTGTCATGCTTATTTCTTTACATATGTATGACATTATGTCATTCCCTTTATTTTTTATTTATTTTGTTTTTGTTTATATTCTTTTAGGATTGATTCCTGAAGCCGGTGCTGGCAGATCAATGCTTCTCTGCAATTCATGTTTCCAACCAGAGGAGTCTGATCCCAGCCATCCTCAGATTAGTGATACCACACATAGGTAATCTAGCTAGTTGTGAGGACTAAATCAGTAAAACTATATTAGATTTAGCGCATCTTCTTATGAATTGCTAGCACTACCCATCTTTTCACTCTAACCTTATCATGAAAAAACAGACTCAAGGATCTCATGTTAGATAGTTGAGAATTATGGAAAACTCCTTTTTCTTGTTCCCCTCTATTGAAAGTGGTTATTAAACTCTAAATTTAAAGTAGATGAGCATGTTAAGAGATAATGGAGAGAGAAAGAAACGCGGGGAGGATTTATTCATAAGTTATTCAACCGATATATTTATTTTATTGAGAACGGTTGAGTTGAAAAATGAGTTCAAACATAACATTCATATGCTCATGTATTAATATGCAAACAAGAGCACGGGTGTGCCTTATAGATAACATTTGCATAACCAAATACTTGCCGGTTTTGTGTCTGAAGGCTGAGAATAAAGCAATAATTGAGGAAATAAACTCAAACATCTCAACTCCAGTTTCTTGGCTTCATATCATGGACCAGTGTTGTTGGTTATTACCTGCTTATTACATGGACAAATAGGTAGACATATAGAATCTTTCACTATGGGAAGAGCACACATTAGTTCAAGGGAAATATGCCACTTAAAGAAATTGTTGTTAAATATATATTGAAGTTCGTCCACCTTGTGTATAGCTGTAGAACTCCACTGTCGCTAGCATTTCGTATTTAGTCTGTCAATCTATCTACTTGTACTGTGGATTTAACTGAGAGGTTCATGGCGAGCATTTTAGGTCTCCATTGGTTGATTCATCCCCTCCGGATACATCGATTTGTCAGCCTGAAGTACAAGAAAGTGTTCAAATTTCTACAAATAGTCAACCTCGAATGAAACGTCAAGGGAGGCTCACAAGGAAGTGAGTACTTTCTACTTTGCACAGTGAAGAGCCATCTTCAAATGCATCATGTTTTTGTGCTGATTCTTGTTGCTTCTTTGCAGGGATTTAAGAATGCATAAATCGGTCTTGGCAGAAGATGTGCTTCCTGATGGCACGGCTTTGTCATATGTTATGCATGGAAAGGTGAATTCTATGGACACTGAAAGTAATTCAAGGTTTCTTGAAATCATATCAATATGTGAAATGATTGTTGATGTTTTCTTACGTTCTTTCTATGGAGCAGAAAAAGCTTTCTGGTTATAAGAAAGATGGTGGTATCTTCTGCATCCACTGCAACGAAGTGGTATCTCTTTTTATTTGTTGTGTAATTATAAAACCACTTTTTGATATACCTTGAAGTTATTAATATGTGACGTTGGCAACCTTATGTATGAACAGGTGAGTCCCTCACAGTTTGAGAATCATGCTGGTTTCGCTTCCCGTCGAAAGCCGTATGTGTTCCTTCGAGTCTCTGATTTCATGATCTTTTATTGGGTTACAGTCTTTTGCGTTGCACCTGAGTGCTTTTACTTTTTCCACCACATTTACATAATATATAACTGGGGCAATATAACATAATGTTCCTATGTACAAGAGTGGAGGCTCTGTTCCATTTGGTTTACCTTAGCTCTGCTTGGCTTGTAGGTACATGAGTATATACACTTCCAATGGAGTGTCTCTGCATGAGCTATCCCTTGAACTATCTAAAACCCGTAAATCATCTACAGCAGAAAGCGATGACCTCTGTTCTATATGCGAGGATGGTGGAGATTTGTTATGCTGTGAAAATTGTCCACGAGCTTTTCACAATGGTAGAATATTGTTATGCTGTAGAATTTATTATGGGTTATTTGGTGTTTTATATGATTTTACAATCATACAAAAGTTGCAGTTGATTAAAAGTGTATAGCCTATAGAATATCCTTCAGTTATTTTCCAATCTATTATATCATTTCCACCTGGTTTTTAGGTCTATTCTTTTTCTATTTTATTGGTAAGGTTTGTAACATATTAATCTTTAACTAACAATCTTCCCAGGTCCTGTTTTGGTTAGCTTTGTTGTTAGAATTTCAACCCTTCCCCAGTTCTTACATAGCGTACTCTGCTTTCTTTCATATGTTTTGCAGAATGTGTCGGTCTCCCAAGACTCCCGCAAGGAACATGGTACTGCAAATATTGCCAGAACATGTTCGAAAAGGAAAAGTTTGCGGAGTACAGTGCAAATGCAATTGCTGCTGGAAGAGTTCCTGGTGTTGATCCACTGGCAGAAATAACCCAACGATGTATTCGAATTGTTGAGACTTTTGAAGCTGACATAGGTGGATGTGCCATATGCAGGTTCTCTATCTATTTCTTTTTCATGTATCCCGAACTAGTTAACATTTGGTACGTACTTCGATAATATTTGGCATTTAATTACAACGTTTGATTGCTGTCACAATGAAAGTTAAGGATTATTTCCTAGAATCTTGTAATTGTAAAGCAGAAAAATATGTTTAAGCTTGATTACTTAATTCTAGTCTGTGGATATTCTTGAATATTTGACACTCGACCATGTTAATTAGTATATACTTCTCTATGTTGCTTCACTAAGGCTCTTATTCTGTCTTCTAGTCTTCTCCCCCGAACACCTCTATGTTTTTTTCCCACTTCTTTGCCTTTTTCTTTTTATATATCCTCTGTAACTATGTTGAGATTTGGTCTATGCAGAGGTCACGATTTCAGCAAGTCAGAGTTTAATGGGCGCACAGTTATTATATGTGATCAGGTAATGCGTTTCTTATGCTCTTGCTGAAACTGTTTCCGGAATCAGGTTGAAATGCTTGCTGTTTCTGATTTTTCAACATGATAAATCGTGTTTGGTTTTTTGTAGTGTGAGAAAGAATACCATGTCGGCTGTCTAAAGGAGAAAAATATTGACGATTTACAGGTTTGTAAACCAGTATATTATGTTCATGACTACTCTTAGTTTCCAGAATCCATAGATGCACTTAGCCTACTCTTGTAAATGATTGAACTGTACGAACTGCAGGCATTACCTGAAGAGGAATGGTTCTGTAATAAACAGTGCAGCAGTATTAACTCTGCCCTTCAGAAGTTGATTGGCGATGGTGAGCTTAGGCTTCCAGAAGCTATTTCCACAATTCTGAAAAACAAACGTGATGGACAAGGTTCGGAGCAAAATCCTGAGATTGATATAAGATGGAGACTGCTCAGCGGGAAAAATGCCTCAGAAGATACCAGGGTGTGGCTTTCTGGCGCTGTCAGTATTTTTCACGTGAGTACCTGTTGGCTACTGTTTCATCGAGTCATTTAGTATTTTTTCGTCCTTTTATAAATTGCTTATTATGAATTTGCCTCATTATATGAGTTATGATTTGTCGTTATTCTGAAATCTTCATTTTCAAGTATTAGGGTATTTGTTTCATGAGCCAACTTAGTGATGACATATGTAGTAATCATATCCTTCCTTCATAGATTTGCAACATTGTAGTGTTCTAAAGTGGCAATAGTAGAACCCTGGAAATGATCCTTGGAATCAAGTATGAAACAAAATATGCATGCAGTGTCAATTGTTGAGTTATTTAGTCCTCCACAAATGATCATATTGGAATTAAATGTCAGAAAAGGCATCTTGGTAATTTTACACTAGTTTCTATAGCCATTCTTCACTTTATAATCCCCATCTTTTCATAATTCTGTGACATCTTCGACTATCATATTCGAATTCACTATCTTATTTGAATTATTGTGCAACTTTGACCTGAACTTTGATAAGCTTGATATCTGTGATGATTAGATGAACAAGAAAAAGAATCATCCTTCATCATTTATTACTTTTAATTACACTCCGCATCACTGTGAGCATGATTAATGTAGGACTGGTATTATATCTTTCTAACAGTTTCTATTTGATGCTGATTGCTGAAGGTGGCAGCCTGAGCAAATAAGTGCTAATAGATTGATTTTATAACTGTGTACTGCAAATAAAATTTAACGCCCGGCAAATGCTTTCTAGTTTATTTGGGTAATCATGCTTTTCTACTGATGGTACTGTTTGAGCTTAAGAAAATTTTATGACAGTTGATTTCTATGTACCAAATTTCTTCAGGACCGATTTGATCCTATTGCCGATGCTAGCACCAGCCGTCTTGACCTTATTCCACACATGGTTTACGGGTAACAAGTCTACTGTACTTCATCGAAAGCCTTGTTTACACCTCTTGTATGTTATTGTACGGACTGTCAACTATTGCTGATATCTGCAGGCGGCACTTCAAAGACCAGGATTTTTGTGGCATGTATTGTGCCATACTGATTGTCGAGTAAGAAATACTGTGATTTTTCTATTCATTTATTTTATCTATTCATTTTTTAGTTTGACCTAAAAGAAAGTCAATTATTTCTACAGCTCCGTGGTAGTATCTGCCGGAATGTTTCGGGTTTTTGGGGAGGAAGTTGCGGAGCTGCCGCTAGTCGCAACAAGGACTGATAGTCAGGGGAAGGTAGGCTTAATTAGTTGAACCCTAATAAGAGCACTAGTCTTGTGGGAACTCCCTTTTGCTTTATTCATTATAAGAAGATTTAGATACAATATTCTCTCTTTTTTTTCCTTCCACTCGCTGCCTTGTATATTTTACGAATCCGTATTCCTTTTGCAGGGGTACTTCCAGTCACTCTTCTTCTGTATTGAGGACATTTTAGCATCCCTTAATGTGAAAGACTTAGTACTTCCTGCTGCCGATGAAGCAGAATCTTTGTGGAAAAACAAATTCGGGTTTGAAAAACTTAGCGAGGAAGAGGTTGGTTAAAAATCTTTTAGGCCTGTGTATTATATATTATCCATTGGGTAACCGAGAAAAAATAAATATATATATATATATATATATATATTAGATACGTAGGTGTGTTTGCGTTTATATATGGGTGAGTCTTGTGTTTGACTAATATATCTGGTTGTTGCTGTTTTGCAGTTAGATGAATACAAAAAGAGTTATCAGATGATGATCTTTCAAGGAACATCTGTGCTGCATAAACAGATAATATCCAAGTCTTGAAATACCAAACCTTCTCTAAAGCAAAGGTTATACTTTTTCTTTTTGTTCATATGATAGATGTGAAAATTTCAGGTACTTTTGGTAAGGTAGAAATCCAGGCTGCAGGTCTGATCCTTGCTAACGTAGGGGGATGTCTGCATTGTTAGGATATTTCGATCAATTTTGTCCAAGTCTGGAGAAATTTTTTGTGTTCCTATTTTTGAAATGAATTATAGTTACTTCTATCAGTTACCGTCTTTTCCCCTTTGCTGTTCATATGTTGGTTTCGTATTGTATATTCATATTGCCCTAGATGAAGCCAAGTTGGTTGAGTTAAAATTAATGTATGATGAACTCATACAATAGTTAGAATTTCTTTTAATCATAATTCTAAAACGATCAATGGTGTAAAATCGTCCGGTGTATTTCATCGAGCGTAGCATGTACAAAATATATCAATGTTCTTGTAAACTAAATGTAGATAAACATAAGGACACAAGTGTCAGTTTTTTGCCACGAAAGTCATTGCAGATGTTCTTTTGTGATTATGCCTTTAAATAAATATTGAAAAAAAAAAGAGCAAAAATTGCATTTTCATGCGCATTAAGTAAGCAAACTGTTGATGATTTACATTTTATGTATGAAATTAACCAAGAAAATGAAGAATACAATGCAAACCCTAATCTAATAAAACAGTAGACGAAAGCATTGTTTATAGTGGTTCGATTAGAGCAGCCACCGGAATCTTTTTATTGATGATACATGGGATTACAACATACACAACTCACTCAAAGCTTAAAAAATGATCAACAATAGGGATCACTTTTCTGCAGTCTCTCTCTCTCTCTCTCTTAAAAAAAATAAAAATATATTAAAAAAAAATGAATAAAAAAAAGAAAACGATAAACCAAGAAAAGTCGTGCTAATTTATGAAAGCGGGAAATCTTGGAAATTTAAAATTCAAACAAGTCCTCTATTTCATTTTAATTCCAAAAACGACCTTTTAAAGAACAAGGCAATCATTTCCCCCCTTCCGTCAATTTTTTTTTTTTATTTGCCCTCACGGCCAATCATTCCCCCCTCTCGCGATCTCTCTTTCTATATCCAAGGTATCTCTCTCTCCAACACTCAATTATTCGTCACTTTTGATCCCTAATTCTGATCGGAAATTGTTTAATTTATTTTCGCAGACTCAATTGCTAACCAGCAAGCGGTAATTTTCTGATTGTTGAAGCATAAAGCGAAAATGGGTCAGATCCAGTACTCCGAGAAGTATTTTGATGACATCTATGAGTACAGGTGATTTAGGTTTCACCGTCGTTTTTCCTTTCCTATTTTCTTATCGGTGTTAATTCATTTATCCAAGGTTTTTTTTTTTTTTTTGGATTTTCAGGCATGTTGTTCTTCCAACAGAGGTTGCTAAGTTACTCCCGAAGAATCGCCTACTCTCAGAAGTGAGTTGTTTGTATGCTTTTTTCCATATGCCTATTCGATACTTTCAGATTTTGTGTTTGATCATTTTAATATTTACAGTCTTTATGCCTATGAAGTGTTTGTGAAAATGACAATCGTGTTGCGTAACTTCTGTTTTATTTGTCTCGTTTGGTGGTAGAATGAGTGGCGTGCAATTGGGGTTCAACAGAGCAGAGGGTGGGTTCACTACGCAATTCACCGCCCGGAGCCACACATTATGCTTTTCAGGCGGCCACTTAACTACCAGCAGCCGCAGCAGGAGAATCAAGTTCAGCAAAACATACTCGCCAAGTGATCAAGTTCCATTTATGAGGTTCTAAATTTGTTTCGAGCTTTAGATTGAAAAAAGGGTTACTCTCGTTTCATCTGGAAATGTATGTACCTTTTATATACTCTGTTCTTGAGTAAATTTGGGAGTGCTCAGTTATGTTACTTTGACGTTGAAACTTCTTTTTCAACGATGTTGATGATGTCATCAGAACTTGAAGTTTAGTTTTTTTATTGAGACACTCTTAACTAAGATGACCGTGTTTGATGGATAACGTAGATTTTGTCTATTTATATTGTTTTGGCACTTGAAAATAAGGGTAGTGGTATTATTCGGATCAAGATTCTGCTTGATTGTCTTGTTTCGTATTCATGATTCTGTTATTTTGGCTGTGGTGTTGAAGAATAGCTTCTTCATGCAAGTGCACTGAATCGTCTTTTTGTACCTCTCGTATTTCAGAACAGTGTTGTAGGTCTTGCACAAGACAAATTGCATATATAATCTGAAACTTCATGCTCTGTTAATATGTGTCAGCATTTTCTTGTTATATATGACATTCGATATAAACTGGTCGATCGTCTAACTAGTGAATAAGCATTGATATGAGTTACCTCTTCTAGTTCAATGCTCCTTTTATTTCATCGAGTATCATCGAAATTACATAAGTTGCATTTGGATTTAAATGTTTCAATGTTAGGGAAGAATTTCAAGTGTTTAGTGTTGTGCTTTAAATTGTGTTGCATTATCTTTCTTCAAATCGAAAACTGAAACCAAAATGCAATTAGAAAATATTGAACAAAAACAAAAAAAAATTGGATCTGAGAAACTATGTAAAGAAGGAAAAGTGATCCGTGGAATTAATTCGTTAAGCAAACGAATACAGGATTTAATAAACCTATTTAAACAGCAGAGGAAATAAAAAACCAGGAAAACAAACAGTCCTAATTACAACAGAGCAACAAAACCCAGAGAAAATCTAAGAACTAGTGAACTTGGTAACAGCCTTGGTACCCTCAGAAACAGCATGTTTAGCAAGCTCGCCGGGCAAGACCAACCGGACGGCGGTCTGAATCTCCCGGGAAGTGATGGTGGGCTTCTTATTGATCCTGGCCAATCGGGAAGATTCTCCGGCGAGCTTCTCGAAGATGTCGTTAATGAAGCTGTTCATTATACCCATGGCTTTGCTTGAGACTCCGATGTCTGGGTGGACCTGCTTCAGCACCTTGAATATGTAGATCTTGTACGTTTCCACGCTCTTCTTCGTCCTCTTCTTCTTCTTCTCTACGCCGCCGACGGCAGCCTTGCCGGCGTCCTTGGGTAGCTTCTTGCCGGCCTTCGGCTTCTTCTCCGCCGCCGCCGCTGGGGACTTTTCTGCTGCGGTGGTTTTCTTCTCCTCCGCCGCTGGCTTCTTCTCGGCGGGTTTCTTTTCTGCTGCCCTGGGAGCCATTTTTTTGGTTGCTGGGGTTTGGTTTAGAATGAGGGTTTGTTTGATTGTAGAGAGAGAGAGAGAGAGAATTTGTGCGGTGTAAGATATTTGATTGTGGTGGAGGTGTTTAAATACAGGATGCGGGAATGGTTTGATTGGCGGAATTGGTTTGACTCGGATTCTGCATTGGGACCGTTGATTAAATATATGAACTAACGGTGAGATGTGTGGCTATATATCTGCGTTTTGATTGGCTATTTTACTGTGGACTTGGATTATCATCTTAGTCCGTTGATAAGATGGAGATCCAACGGAAGGAATTCTCCACAACTTTGTGTTTTTGTGATAAGTATCGAAAAGTAGAAAATTTCCCGCGTCTCTATATTTCCAATTTTCATAAATCGATCCTTATAACATTTTTCTTTTTCCATTTTTTTTCTTTTTTTTTTTTTAAAGGTGAGTCATTATTAATAACAATGTTTTCAGAACCGGACCGGACATATAACCGGCTAGGTATTCGGGTCACGGTTGGACCGGTTCAACCGGGTTCAACCCGGTTATTTTATTTTTTGTTATTTTATAATTATTTATAAATTTTAGTACTTTAAAATTATTATTTTTTCTATTTATTTATATATTTGACTCCACTTATTCACTATAAATACAATTTTCTCTATTTATTTATATATTTCAAACAATTTTTTACTTTACAATCTTTCTTATTAATTAAATTCACTTGTCCTTTTTTCTCTCTCTTGATTTCCATGCCACATCCTTCCCCTTCCCCTTCCCCTTCCCCACTCTCTCTCTCTCCTCTGCAAATCTTCAAAGCAATCTGCCCTCTTTTTTTCCTCTCCCTTATTCTTTCTTTCCCAATTTTCTTCTCTACACATCTCTTCATTTCCGGCGACATAGTAAGTAGATCCGATTTTAGTCGACGTTTATCGGCCTTCACCCCAAGATCCGGCATTTACAGTCCAGATCCGGCCATCCAACACTTCAAAAGCACCATTTCAGACAAAAATCTGGGTCTTCCACCGGTTTTCGGTTCTCCGATTTTTTCGATCGAACCGGCGGTTTTTACTCTCTGACCCCGGTTTTTGATTTCTCCGGTTTTCATCGTTGAACTAGACCGCCAAGATGTCGGGTTGCGATCGAACCGGTCGGACCGGCGGGTCCAGTCCGGTTCTGACAACCATGATTAATAGCAATAGAAACTTGTGGATGAGTAGTTTTACCAAATTACCCCTGAAAGTAAATTGATAAGATATAAGAAACACCTTTTAATTAAGGGAAAATTATTCAAAAACTATTTTTTAGAAGAAATAATTAGCAAGAATCCCCTCATCTAGGAAAATGAGTTAAGTAAACACCCTCTCCCAAAAATAATTAGAGAAACCCTTTTAGCTAATATCATACTCAAATATTATTTTAATAATTCCCAAACCACCCTTATTAATATTAAATCTCTTCAAAATCCTAACCCATTTCATTTGCCGTTCTCTCTTTTTTTTTCTCGTCTTCTCGTCTTCTATCTTCTCGTCTTCACTCTTCTCTCTTCTCTTCTAGACTGAAATTCGGAAGAAAAGCAAGACGTCAACTGATGGTGGTGGTGGTGGTGGAGAGTGTTTGTTACCGCCTCCCGCCGCCGCGTGAAGAGTGGTGATGGATCTGTAGTTCGCGGCAGTGGTTTCCACCAACGACGTTGAAGATGATGACTGGCGCTCGTCGTTGAAGACGCAGTGGGTTGACGGCTATGAGGATGAGGCATGAGAAAATCACTGTTGCAATTGATGTTGGTGAAGGTATTTGTTGCTTTTTTTTTTTTTTTATGTTGGTTTTGACAAATAACTTGAATCATTTTTGCTAATTTGTGTTTTTTGGTACGAATTATTTAACTTATTTATTTTATTCTTGTTAGGGATTGGTTGAATAATGTATTTGTGGCAGCGGTGTGGTGACGATGGGGAGGCAGATTTAGAGCTTTTTGGTGGATTGGGCGGATAACGGCGCATGTAGAGAATTTCACGCATGCTCTGAAACCTTAATCGACTATGTACATATTCATAGTCCATTAAGTTAATCGACTATGTTCTGGAAGTCGATTAAGGTTGATTGACTCCATTTTTTTTTTACTTTTTTCGGATTTTTCGTTTATTGATTCCAACTGTATAAATCAATTATAATGTTTGTATATTTTTTTGTTTTTGTAATATATAGTTGATTTTGCAGTTTTTCGCAGTTGTGATTTGCTTGTTTAGTAGCAGATTTTTAATCGACTATATGCTCTGGTAGTCGATTAAGATTGATCGACTCCAAATTTTTTTTTTGTTTTGTTATTTATTGATTCCAATTGTATAAATCAATTATAATGTTCTTATATTTTTGTTTTTTATTTGTAAAATATAATTGATTTTGCATTTTTTTGCAGTTTTGATTTGTTATTTTTTGTAGCAGACTTTTGATCGACTATGCTTCATCATAGTTGATTAATATACTGATATATATATATATATATATATATATATATATATATATATATATATATATGTATATTGGACCGGGAATTGAGCCGGGCCTACCCGAAGCCCGATAGCTCTGCCCGATTGCCTGTGAGCAGGGCCGAGTTTGAGCTTACCATGGCTCAACCCGAATAAAGTCCGATCAAATTAATATATATATATATATATATATATATATATATCCTCATCGGTTTTTCAATGCGACTTGAAATAGATGCAATCAAATTTTGTATATCAAAAAGTTATATAGATAATTACTGTCTAGACTAATAACATTGATAATTCAATGAATGTTTTACAATATAATGATGTAAATCAAATATTTGAAATTACAATGCGATCAGAGTTTGTACACATGTTAAAGGTAAACATATGATCAAAATAATTCAATATATTGTGTGCATTATGTTGGACAAAGTTTCAAACTGAAAAACACCTATGAACTGTATATATCAAACCACACATTGATTTAAAAATTTCACATCACAAAAATATAGAAACTAATTTTAACTAATTAGTTGCCTATGATCAGTGCATGGTCCAGAGTAAATAAAAAAAATTAAAATTAAAATTAAAAAAAATCAGCCTACCTGAAGCTATTATCCAGTTGCATTTGCGACGAATTAGAAGCAGCTCCACCGTTGCCCATCTTGACCAACGAGTTCACAGTAGCCGGCGCGTGGCCGACGAACAATGCCACGTGTCCCATGAGCTTGTCCTTTCTGGAGAAGGTGGTCCCGCAGGAGCACTGCCACTTGAGATCGCCGCAGTGCTTCTCGTGCGTCCTCAAATCCGACAGCACCGAGAAATTCTTGCGGTTGCACCTCTTGCACACGTACATCTTCGGACAGTGGCTCCTCTTGTAATGATTCTTCACGCATATCATCGACTTCAGCGGCTGGAACTTCGCGTGCTTCTTGTTCCACCGGCACCCTTCCTGCGGGCACGAGTACTTCCTCTGCTGCGGCGCCGCCGCCGCCGCTGAGATATCGCAGGGGGGTTCTCCTCCGGCGGCCGCCGGAGTGCTGTTTTTGAGTGGGTTGCTGAGGGCGGCGGCGGACTTGTACTCGTCGCCGTGGGCCCTCATGTGCATCCGCAGATTCGCGTCCCTCTTGAACCCTTTGCTGCACACCTGGCAGTAGTGCGTGTACTTCGCCAGCAAATCGGCGGCCTCCAGCTCGATGATATCGTAGTTGTCCTTCGCCGGAGATATTACGCCACGTGTCATCCCTTCGTTTCTCTCTCTCTTCGGAGTCAACTCCCTCCCGCAATTATTACCTTCCTCAAAATTACTGTTACTACTTCCAATATTACTGTAACCTTCGACGTACCAGTGATCGGAGAAGAATGCGGCGGAGGGCTCTTCTCTTTCCATCGCCGGATCTCCGCCGTCAGCGGCGGCGCCGTAGATTAGGGACATCTGCTGGCAAGAGAACATCATTGAAGAAGCTGTGACGATGATTTCTTGAATGAGGGTACCCATGGTGGGTATGGCGACGGCGGCGGTTGAATCGGACGGCGGGAGATTATCCGGCGACATGAAAATGGAAGCGAGTGATTGGACCTGGTGAACTTTATCCTTGAGAATGGAGAGATTGTAGAGGAAAGAATTGGGGTTTGATGAAGAAATTACTTCTTGATTATCAGAAACAACTCCATACATATTAGGGTAACAACTACTTTCCACCGTGTTCATGGTGGAGAATTATAATTAAGAAAATTAAAACAAGAAAAAAAAAAAAAAGAGAAAGAAGCTTCTTGGTTTTGTTATCACTCTTTTGGATTAATCTTATTTTGTGCTATAAATTTTTATCAAATATTTTCCCCTGCATATGCATATAGGAGGGGAATATATAGGGAGGAATTAAGTTAATACAATATATATATATATATATATATATATATATATATATATATATATATATATATATATATATATATATATATATATATATATATATATATATATATATATATGTGTGTGTGTGTGTGTGTTGAATTTGGCTCTCTTTGGCCTTTTAGTTGACATTGCAACAAAGAAGCTAAAAGAAAATGAGGAGGGAGGGTTAGGGAAGATGAGTTGTACCCAAGCACTCAGTGCACCCTCATGGTTGAACGAGTTTAATTTATGAAAGCGCGTGTCCCTAAATCAGTGGGCGGATCCAGAAAGTTGTTTATCGCATTAAAATTTCTCTAAGATTCCACGACAATAATATATTACTGAAAAAAACATAACAAATAGCTATGTAAAATATTAATACATTCCTTTTTACTTGAATATGCATGCCATTAACATTGGGTTAAAGTTAGAGGAGAAATAAAATATGTTCTATATTGAAATTGTAGAAGACAGAAAAATATGAAATATTCTTTTCTAACTAATAAAAGATTAGATAAAAGAAAATGGAGAGAATAAATAAATTGATAGATATATATAATATATAATATATAATATATATTGTTGATGGTGCACGAATTGAAGGGGGTGGTATAGTAGGATATAATGTATGTATAATGTTGAAATGGGAGAAGTCAACTTTGGAGCAAAAAGCCATCACCACTTAAGACCTTCCTCAAATGCTACCGGTATCATATGTTTAGACAAACCTTTTCACGAGGATATATATATTATTTTTATGTTTAAGCATAATTTAATTGAGAGTATACAACCATTAATTAATTAATTACAATTAGCTTGGTGTTATTTTATAATGCTTATTCTTTTCAATCAACTTGGTTTTGGTTTGGTTAATTAATTAAATGTATTAAACCATCACTATTCTATGGTTTTGTGGCGTCAACCCACCATCACGCATGAATTGAAGTGGAGTTGAAATTTTCAAATTAAATTTCAAGAGTACAAGATATAACTATTGTCATCCATCTTCACATAATATATTACTAGCTACTTGTTGACTTCACATATGATAATATACTTTCAAGAGTACTAGATAGACTTCTCATTATATTTCGTTTCTTTGTCACGGGGATCGGTTCGGCGTTATTGGGCCGAACCCCTTATTCTAATTTATCGGGCTAAAGGCTCTATGGACCACGAAGAGAAATTGGACGAACTGATTGAGAAATAGTTCAGAGCGCTAGGCCCAAACAAGTCACAAAGTAGCCGAGGGGCCCCCGCATGTCGGGTAGCTCGCCTTTTTAGAGGTCAATGATACCATCCTATCTCTATAGGGCATAAGAACTCGATCGCCGCTCGTCCCCATTATACTTTAGGGGAGGACGAGAAGTGCGGCAGGTGGCGAGTTGAACTAGCTAGAGATCGTTGGAAGGCTGATGTTGCGGATCTTCTCCGTAAATCTTTAAATGAAAGTACGATATTTCACGCGGAATCACAATCAAGTTTGGCACGAATCAAGGGGTTCCGAAATAGGAAATATTTCATTACAACTTCTCATATAAAAAAAAAGGGTAAAGTTCATTTTACCTACCTGAACTATACCCAACGTATAAAAATCCCCCCTGTACTTCAAAACGTACCAAAACGGCCCTTCCGTTTAAAATCCGTCTTCCCTCGCTGACGTGGCATGTTGACTCTTTTTAATTATTACATTTATTCCAGCTGTTATTTTTTTAGACAAATTTACCCCTCTGTTTAATTATTTCTTCACGTCAACAATTTGTCAATTACTTTTACGAAAGAAAAAAAAAAGAGATTTAAATATAAGAATTTTCAGAGCCGAGACATATAAATGACGTCATTCGCCAAATCCACAACTTAATTGTCAATTTCTGCAAAAAGAAAAGAAAGAAGAAAAACTAAATGACAATCGCCACGCCAGATCCGTTTTCCGGTCGTCAGCCGTTCGTAACGCCGCAACGAGGCTGGTCTTCCAACCAAAAGCTGTTCGCTCACCGCCTCTTCCAACTGAATCACTATGTGTGTGTCTTTATGAATCGAGAAGTATGCAATTGAATTCATCTGTGATATAGCAAAAAAAAATGGCATGGAAGATTGGTTGAGAAACTTTGAATTCTATGTAACGGTTGACTCTACTCTGTCTGTGTGTGAAGAAAGGGTGAATTGCCAGATGTTGAAATTAAATTTTGGCAATTTAAAAAGGCAATTGGCCCATGGAAAATATACATTTTTAATCGGAAGTAAGAAGAGTAAGAAATGGATGCAATATACATTTCCAGCCCACCAAACTTCACATCAATTTCTACAGGTTCGGCAATGGGGAAAAGAAAAAAGAAAAAAATTAAAAAAATTATGGACAAGGAAGACGGAGAAGAAGGGAGGAAGAAGAAGATTTTGGGGGCAAAAGTGTAAAATCACATTAAAACTAACGGTTTTCCTATATAAAGTAACGGTGTTAAATTTTTTGACATATTTAACGTTGACCAACAAAAGGGAGGGATTGTTTTGGTTCATTTTGAAGTTCAGGGGGGTATTTTACACGTTGGGTATAGTTCAGGTAGGCAAAATGAAGTTTACCCAAAAAAAAATGTTACAAGACTAATTAGGGTTACACTCCCAATAACACTTCATACTCTCTTCTCAAATCTTCTCTTGCTATTTATTATTTTCTGTTTCATTATTTATTTATCTCAATTAACTAATCCACACAATTAAACAAGGGTCGACATATAATTAACAATAATACGATGAAAAATCTGGTCCCTGGATTTGTAGTTATGTTGTCATAATTGTGGTGATCTGAAACAAGTTTGTAAAATTAGTTATTAGATTCTTAGTTTGCAAATTTTGTTCAATGCCAAATACTCACCGGAAATTCTGATTAATTGCAAAGCATCTCATCAATTTAATGGCAAAATCATTCGAGATTAATTACAAGCAACTCACACTGAAATTTTCAGACAGATTTTGTACTATATCTGAAGATTTTCAATTTAATTCATCTATCTATATATATATTTGGACTACATGCACCATTCCTCATTCTATACACACACTCAAATTAAATTAAATTAAATTAAGTAAAAAATAAATAATGGGTTTTACAAGGTTTATGTCGGTGTTCGTTGTGCTGGTGGTTCTTACCACCCCACTACTCATTCAGACAACCGCCACCACCGCAGAAGAAGAGAATTTGGCGGTGGCGCAAACAGCTATTTCTCCATCTGAAGACGATGGGCTCGCATCATCCCTCCACCGCTGCCACCACCACCACCACCATCACCACCACCACCACCACCATCATCACCACCACAACCTCCACCACCACCACTGCCACAAACCAGCTCATGATAAGTGTCCAAAGGCGTCGCCGGCGCCGGCTCCAGCGCCGGAGAATGCACCACCTCCCCGTGCTCATACTCCATCCCCAAAGGCGTCCCCGTCGCCAGCGCCGGAGATAGCACCATCTCCCCGTGCTCATACTCAATCTCCAAAGGCATCCCCGTCGCCTTCACCGGCGCCGGCGACGGAGAATGCACCGTCACCTTATGGTCCTGCTCATTCTCCCAACCTGCATGGTGCTTCTTCTCCGCATAATCATGGACGTCACCATCGACGTCAGCATGACGCGCCGCCGCAACAAAGCCAACTACTCGCCCTCTGGGAGCAGTTCCTTTCTTGAAATTTGGAGTACGGAAATTAATTGTTGTTACAATTTAATTAATGGATGAATAGATTAATATCAACCAATGGCAATTACACATTATTCATCTATATTTTGTTGTTTCGAATTAATTAATTAATATTCTATATTTTTCCAGAATTTTGTGTTTACCATCTTCACATTTAAACAAACTAAATTAAATTAAATACGTATTTTATTTAGCTATGCAGGGCTTCAAAGGTAAATGGGCCTGATGCATTTGTCCCGATTTTTTTTTACAAGCCCAATCGTATAAAATGTTTTGAATCAAATATTTAATTATTTCAGCCCATAATAGATTGTAATTAGGTGAAGCCTTAATTAATATGATTATTAAAAAATAATTAATTTTTTTATCGTCAATAATCACGTCCACATGACTCTCAACATTGTAATGTTCGCATATAGACACGCACAAACACGTGTGCATGTGTGTGCGGGTGTACAGCTTGATTGTGGGTCATTTTTTAATTTAAATTAAAAGTTGTATATGTATAATTAGAACTTATGTTTTATGAATTAATTAAAATGGAAAAAAGAGGGATATAAATATTTCTAGGGATATGAATACGATGAAGTAACTGAGTACCAACCACCTGTCAAGTGTTCAAGGACCTCCAACTCGAACATGTGGATGCTGAGCTGTCAACGTTACTCAAATATGATATTTTCGATTTGTTTTTATATCAAGTTCATATTAAATTTAAGTATCATGATATTAAAAATTCACCATATAAATTGTTAATTTCCTTTTGCGTAATATTGTATACTATTACTTGATATACATGTACGTATAGGTCTCGTTTGGTTTGGGAGATTAATCATGATTAACTAAATAGTTGGACTGTGTTTGATGTTTGGTATCCCCAATGACTTGACCGGTCAACCCGTAAATATTATGTTATCATAACTTATTTTATTTTCTGAGCATTTTTTTTATTAGATATTTCAAGATGTGATAATACAATTGAGTTTTATTAAATTATTTAATTTTATCGTGACGACTGAACGAGGCCATACTGTATAACTCCCGATAGTGACTAGTTACTAGTAATGCGCTTTAGTGTACCAAATTACTATCCCAAAAAATAGTAGCCACTAAAACATCAAAGTGATGTTGATTTATATCATATTTATTGCCTATAAATAAATATAAAAATAAAAATAAAAATAAAAGGTTTGATACACATAGAAGCATTCATGCACATGCTAGACAAGTAGCAAAGTAGTAACTAATTTTCCATCACTTTCAAAATTTTGGGTGGCCAAGAAATGAGGACCAAAATTTGGTAATTAAATTAATTCATTCATTATCCTTTAATGAGTTTATATTAGCTAGTGTAACACACAGACAAAAAAGAAAATTGAAAAATAAAAAAATAAAATATAATTAGGAGGTGATTAATTAAGAGGGTACATTAATTATATTAGGGAGGCGAAGTAGCACCCCACTAACATGCTTTTTGGCTTAACAATAATCACCCGAAACGTGAACATAACAAACACTCCAACAACAATGAGCTAAGCAAGCTTAGCCCCACCCATCTCTCTGTGTTTTGTGTGATTAATTACACATCAAATTAATTAATTAGCTTTTGTTTGCTTTTACTTCTGTTTCTTTTAATATAAGTTGTTTTAAGCTTAGACATGATTTTTTTTTACGTAAGTTCATTTTACAGAATATTTGCACGCTCTCGACATTTAGAAATAACACTTAATACTCATTTAACTCACAATCACTAACTTCTGCTTTTGAATAAGCTTTTACAAAAACACCAGCTTAATAACTAACCAAAAGCTACTAACTACACCTCTTCACGTTTAAGTGCAAAAGCAGCTTAATTAATCAAATTGGTGAGACCATTAGATTAGATAGTCGAACCACAACATTGAATGATCATGAGGATGTGTTTCACCTAATTGGTTGTTTATATCTAATCTTTTGTTATTATCGTTTTCTTATTACTTGGTAATTAATTTACTAAAAGTACTTTTTTTTAACTCTCTTAATTTTGAATCATTGAACTTATAAGCTTATTCTCTTTTTTGGTTTCTTCGAAAATTTGCAACTAACTTCTGTGAATCATGATTTGAAATGTTAAATTTAAAATATTAACTAAATAACGAATTAAAAATGGGTGAATAATTATGGAAAAAGTGGGATTAAGAAAATAAAAAAAAAAAGTTAGGAAAAATTGAATTAAGTGATTAGGTGTGAATAGGTGGAGTGAGAGATACAAGTGAAGTGAGGTGATCTAACTTAGCTAGAAAACAACTTCAATATGTATATTTTAAGAGTATTTATTTATATATATATATATATATATAGAGAGAGAGAGAGAGAGAGAGAGAGAGAGAGAGAGAGAGAGAGAGAGAGAAAAAAAATGGCATACAGATAGATATAGATAGATACACATGGGATTGGCAATTGGCAGTTACTAACCTATCTTTCATCTATCCGTTTATTCCACGTCATTTAATGGAAAGTGGAAAAACAAACCCAAGCTAAAAGTCTTTTTATTTATATATTCACCTTTATTTGTTTTGTAATTAATATCCAAATAAATAATTAAATAAATAGCCCATAGCAATTAAACCTAATCCACCCCTTTTAGTTGTGGTGCTTTAATTTACTCTCTCACACACACACACACACACACTACCAAGTTGGAGTGTTAAACATATTTGCTCTCCCACTCCGGAAAAAAGAACATGAAATTGTAACAACTGTAACAATCTTGAAAATGAGAGTAATATTAAAATAAATAAATAAAATTATTTTTATATATAAATAAATAAATAAAAAGGAAGATGCTTCGTCACTCACTTTTCGTGAATGAAAGGCAACGATGAATAGTAACCACTTACTCACTCAAAGAATTCAACTTCACCAACAAAATCAATCAAAGAATCAATAACAATTTAGCAATAGCAATAAATAATTAATCAACATTAATGGTATTTTTGTAAATTTATAAGTGTAAAAAAAAATTGAAAAGAAAAAACCAAAAGTAGTGGTAATTAAAAAAAATAATTATTCACATTGACTTTTCGGCCTATTATTCTAATAGTGGCAATCCACCACCATCGCCGCCGTGGAGAAGACGAGGCGGTTCTGCTGTTTGGTCGGAAACTGATGGAATTTGTCATCTTCCGGCGGTGCCGGAAGATTGAGATCCAACGCCAGCATATTTTTGGGCGACGAAGAATCGGTTTCGGTACTCGCGCCGCCGGTTCTGGTGGTGGTGTTAGTATTACTAGGTGCCGCCGGCCTGTGCCTTCGCATGTGGCCGCCCAATGCTTGCCCTGAAGCAAACTCCGAACCACAAATTGAGCACTCGTGAATTTTAGGCTTGTTGTGATGGTTATAATCATGGTGGAAACTTTTGTTGTTGGGCGGTAGCAACTGTGTTGTTGTTGTTGTTGAAGGTGGCGGAGGAGTAATTAAAGTAGTATTATGTGCTCCGGTGATGAACTGCCCATCTTCTTCCACATCCGGCGGCGGCGCCGCCGGGGGTGACTTTTTCTGATCGTAATCCGCGGTGGGCTTCGGCCTCTTGTGACTCGCCCTGTGGCCGCCCAACGCCTGAAACGACGGGAAAGTTCTGTTACAAGTCTTGCACTCGTAAACGTAGCTGCCGCCTACTTTCCCGGTCGCCGCCGCGGCGGCCATTTCAGTGAATTTCCGGCTTCTGAATTTCTTCTCCTCCGCCGCCGCCGGCGCAGCCTTGGTTTCTTCGTAGACTAGTTGTGGAGGTGAAGTCGTCCCACGTGCGAGGAGAATCAAACAGTTGGCCATATCCTCGTCTTCTTCTGTACTCATCGCACTCGATGTGGTCGCCGGAGATGAAACCATCAATACTGAATTATTATTATTATTGTAAAACTCGCCGCCGCCGGCGATGCTTGAGGAGGTGGAGGACGACGGCCTTGGCCGCTTTGTGCGCTTCCCTTTAACGATCACCTGATCGTTAGACCCCGAAAAATCCTCCGAGATTTCCATTTTCATCATCCCAATCAAAACTGCCACCAAAGAATAAATATATAAACGGAAGATATATATATAATATATATATATATAGAATTTTAACTCCAAAAAAAAAAAACCAGAAAAAGAACACACAGTCACACACACTGATCAGTAGTGAGTGGAAGTGTGAGAAAGTGCAGAAGAGCAGTGAGAGAAACTGTGAATGGTATAGATATAGTGAGGGTGAGGACTACAAAAATACAAACACATATATATATATAAATACATAAATATATATGTATGTATATGTAGTAGAGAAAAACGAGGCTCGTGAGCGGTTACGATGAAGTAGCTGGCTTGTAGCCAACCAATATTACTTGCTTCAGTTTCCAACTTCAAACCACACACACACACACACACACTTCAAAAGGTCTTTCACTCACATAAATCCCACCATGTAAATTATGTTTGTATTTTATTACAGCGTTTTTGGTTTTATATAATAAACCACGATTTATGTTATTTATATAAATATATATTAATAAAATTAATCTGTTTTTAAATAAGCTCATTAAGGCTATTGCAAGTTAGAACTTAGAAAAGAGCAGACTTTAAGTCACTCTTAATGTATGCCAATTAAAGGTTCATTATTTCAGTTTGGTCCAAAAAAATAAAAATTGGATGATTTTTGATTAGTTAAATTAAAGAAAAATAATAAAAAGGAAAGAAAAAAGTAATGCTAGGGTGTAATTATGGAAGAGAAAATAAAATTAAGTGGGGATTAAGAGTGTGTTGATGAGAAATTGCCAGCGAAAATGAGGAATAAACAGAAGCATTAAAGCAAAGAGGGATTGCACGTTAAAGGCATGCTCCACCTCATTCACTCCATCTCTTCTTAAACTTAAAGAAAAGTATATATTTATATTTATATATATATAAATAAATAAAATAAAATTAATTAAAATCAGCCAAAAAACCAAACAATATTCGGTTTGGCTTTCAAGCAAACCCATCATCTCTTTTCATCAACAATTTTGATTCCTTTTTTACATCCATGGATCACTAATACTTCATATTTGGCTCTCCACTATCTATCCACTCTAAAAACATTATTATTAATTTAATCTATCCATATTACTATTTCAATTCTTCATTTTCTATTACAACATTATTGAATTTTTACATTTTTTTTAAATTGTACTAATTGATTTGTAAATGTAATATAATAAGATTGGCCCATAAATATATCCAAGGGTTGAGGGAGGACAAAGACCAAGTGTAGGGACAAAAATGGGTTAATATCAAGTGGGGCTGTAAGGTGCAACTGGTTTCGAGGATTGTAAGTCGGCGCAAGGTCCTAAAATCGAGTACCGACAGCATCAGTACCAGAATTCCAATTTTTATGAGGGTTGGTTTATTGTGGACACCAGACTCTGGTCTGCTACTCGAATGGGGCGTTGAGATACCACGATTCATCAAAAAATTATCGAACTAAGTACGAGGAGTCTTGAGGCCAGGAATTTCGCATTTTGGTGCAAGTGGGGCCGTGGGAGAGTGTACACCATAAGAGTAACTGTCATATGGACACTTAATTATGTGAGTAGTATTAATTCGTATAGGTTGTTATCAAAAATCTGTTGGCCTTGCAATCTACGCCTTCCCACTATTAGTTCTGTTGCAAAATTTATTTATTTTTTTATTTATTTTTTTTAATTTGGACTTATAAATTAGTTCACTCACAACTAACACCTTACAGCACGAAATCTCTTTGTGAAATCAACAACATTTTCACTATTTATTGTATTCATTGCCAGTTGAGCCAGCCACGTACTCTCTTTTATTTGGTACTCACAAGAAAATAAAGTAAATTTTATCATAATTATTTTTATTTTCTAATTATTCTTGATTATTTTCGTTAGTCTATGGTATGGACAACTTTATATATGTGTCGACTTCACTATAAGAATAGGATAATATGCATCGTTTTTAATTACTGTCTGGTTTTAAAATAACTGGTAGCATCAAAATTCCTACAAATTCAAAAAATTTCATCATTCAACATAATTTAATTTATTAATTTTCTTCTGAAAAAAATAACATTTGAAAATTAGTAGCACCTATTCAAAATTAACCATGTGACATAGGGATAAAATTGATGTAAAAGTCATGCATGTGATGACCTAGCAGTTTGAACAAGTGAGCATTTGTCAATTGATTCAGGTTCGGATTCTCTTACCAACAGTCGTTAAATCGAGTTTGTCGCACATGGTTAGTCTAGCATATAGTAGTTTACAATTATCGTATAATTTGCAAGTTATTATACAAAAATTTAGATTTATCCAATACATCAGTGTATATATATATATATATATATATATATATATATATATATATATATATATATATATATATATGACTGTGGATTTCCTCATTACCAAAAAAAAAAAAGAAAAAAAAAACCAACTCCAAAGAGAAAAATTAAGCAAAAAAGAGACGTGCAAAAGAATGTGTTGTCTAATAAGTGTGAAGTCTTTGAAAATTAAAAGTTGAGTTGGCTAACGGCGAAGGACAATGAACGAGGCTATATAATTTCCAACTTGTATATATATTATATACACTAATTATTAATTTAATGTGGCGAATTTTGGTTGAGTATACTGGCATTTTTCCCCAATATTATAATGTTTTCTATAAGTGATTAATAAAGAATATTATAAAGTCAACGTAAAATGTTTTGGCAAGAGAATAATTCGATTATATATATTATTATTATTATTTAGTAACTGGATGTGGCCGTCGTGCCAACAAATGCACAAATGCTTCACTAACTTAATCAGTCAAGAGACAAGTCAGGATTAGCTAAACCACATTAAGAAGTAATTTTGCAATTAAGAAATAGGTAAATTTCAACCAAATTTTGAGAATATTTTCATCATTAAATTTGTTGTTCATCGATATATGTGCAATGGATATTTTAATGACAATGTTTTTGTTAAGTGGTGTTTGCAAAAGATTTTGAAAATTAATTTTGAGCTCTCTCTTTTTCTTCTTCTCTGGTTTAAATTAAAATAAGAAAAGTATCCCGAGTGCAACTTCTTTTACAATAAATTGATTAAAAGTTGATTTTACGTGATTTTTGCAAACTCTCTCAACTTTTAAAAATACACACTCATCACTAACTTAAATCTTAAATGGTAAAAACAGAAGTTAGTGCACATGAGATAAGTGGATATTAAGTGTTTATTTTTAAAAGTTGGGGATCGGAAACTACAAAACTTTAATTAATATGAATGCTTACCATTTCTCGCCGACCTGTTAAATTACATATTTGGCACTACTATTTCGAATTTTGACCTGGAACCATGACTTTTAACTACACGTAGGGGGGAAAAAAGGGATTATACATAATTAATTATTAAGTCATACTTAAATAGGCTAATTACATTTTGATATTATCTTTTTATTGAATGAGGTGTTGTGCAAGGCACTCATGCGTTCACATTGTCCATTTCCAAATAAAAACTATTTAGAGGGGTCAAAATCAAATTACGTGGTGATTGTAACATGCTGAAAGAGTGAAAGCAAATACATATACTTTAATTTTTTTGAGAGGATTGATTATTAAACTATCAAAGTTTTGTTACGAAATTAATTGTTCGGTTAGTCTTTATTAAATTAAGTAATTAACTGCTCGTAATTATTCATTTGGATCCAAATTATTGTAATATAAAATGGTAAGACGTAAAAAATAAAGTGATTAGGCAGTGGTGTACTTTCTGTTTGTTCACACAGATAATGTGTGTATTGGGGTTGAGTAATGTGTTACTAGTGCTACTAGTGATGTGTAGGACAACCACTTCTGTAATTAGGCACAAAATTAGGGGTTAATAAATATATTATTATTATTATTATTATTATTATTATTATTATTATTATTATTATTATTATTATTATTATTATTATTATTATTATTATTATTATTATTATTATTATTATTATTATTATTATTATTATTATTATTATTATTATTATTATTATTATTATTATTATTATTATTAATAATAAAGTAGCGATGATGACTTGGCGCCAACTCAACTTCTCACACTTTGTTCTAAGCTTGTGACTTGTCAACAATGTTGTTAGAACTGGACCGAATCGGCCGGTCGGACCGGTTCAACCGTGACCCGCCAATAAAGCGGTCCGGTCTAACATCTAAAACCGGAAAAATCGAAAATCGGGTCAAATGACCAAAATCCGGTTCGATCGGGTAAAACGCGAGAACCGACGAGTCAGTCAAAGAACCCGATTTTCGGCCAAAACGTCTCGAATCACCGTTAAGTTGGTTATTTGTGGCTAGATTTGAGCGAACCTTCACATACTTAGTATAGGGTGGTCGGATCTAGTCATGAGTGGTCGAATGATTGTCTGATATGATCATGGGCGATCGAATAGGGTTAGCCGATTGTCGGATTTTAAGAATAAAAAATGGAAAAATATAGAGTACAAGCAATAAAATATAGTAAAAAGTAAAGTAAAATAAAGTAGATAAAAGTGAAAATAATAATGGCATATTAAAAAAACTCAAAAACCCGATTAACCGGTTCTACCCTATATACCCATGACCCAAATGGTCATCCGATTCTATAGCCGGTCGGTTCTGAAAACATTGCTTGTCAATTCTTAATCCAATACTTCAAACTAAAACTATTTCCAACAATATATATTTGCCCCATTTATGGTCCTAAACAATATATGTTTCTCTTAAGGGTAAATTCCACTTTTCCCCTTGAACTTTGGCTCAATATCACTTTATCCTTTTTTACTTTCGATTGAATCAATTTGCTCCCATGTACTAGAAAAAATATCTCAATGTGGCCGTTGTTGTTAGTTGTCAGACATTTAACATTAACAATGTTTGTTCTAAGCTCTGAAATTACAAAAACCCTCCCCTCCAAGTTTAAATAATTGTTAAAAAACACAAAAAAAAAATTAAAAAAAAATTGAAAACAACGAGAAAACATAGTCCACGATGGCAACCACAATTTATTTTTAATTTTTTTTATTTATTTTTTAATAATTATTTAAATTAGGAGGGGTGGTTTTCTTTTGTAATTTTCAGACTTAGATCAAATGATGTTAATGTCAAATGTCTAAAAAATAACGGCGCATGCCACATTGAGACAATTTTTCAAGTACATGAAGTTAAATCAACGCAATTGAGAGCAGAATGGAGTAAAGTAAAATCGAGCCAAAGTAAGGGGAAAGTGAAATATGCCCTTCTTTTAACATTCACCATGATTTTAAAGATTGAAAGGTGAAAATTATGGACGGGTTAGATGTGATTTAGTACTTTCGGAGAAAAAAAATTCCCATTCCGTCCCAAAAATAATCGGAAAAATCGGAAATCGGAAGAAAAAAAAAAGTTATTCCAAATTCAGATGTTTTCTGATCGAAATCGGCGGAATTCGGATATTCCGTTCCCATTTTCAACCCTAGACTTGATTGATATACTTGTACACTGCAATTTTAATGTACACACTGATATGGGCTTTGATTTGGCCCATGAAACTTGTGGGTAAGTGAAATTATAGACTAATATTGTAGTGAGGAATGGGCTTTAATTTGGCCCATCAAACTCGTGGGTAAGTTACACTCGAAATTTCAAACTTTCATTCATCCACACTACATAAATAATTATTTATTAATACAACAATTGTAGAAAAAAGAAAAAAAGAACTCTAAATACACTAAAGACAAGAAGCTTGAACTAAAGTCAAAATTAGCCATTGGCTAAGTCAATGTTTCAAATTCAAATCCTTGATTTAGAAAAAGGCTGGCAACCCACAGCTTCAAACATGCCAAGTTCATGTCCACCTCATCACCTCCTTCTCGAATCTGTTCATCATTCAAATTTATAAAAATAATTTAAAAAAAAAAAGAAAAAAAAAAAGAAGATGAAATTCTTACATTCAAAGTGAAAGTGAAGATATAATTGTCGGAATCAGCAGCCAAATTGGAGGTTTGAACATTGAAGGTGGTAATGGATTCAATGGCCTTGTATATCAACACAGCAACACCTTTGCCTTTCTTCAACACTATTCGCACGTAAAAACCTCGTTCCTCCACTTGAAATACGTCCATCTGCAAATTTCGTTCACAATCTTCGAATCGTTAACTAATTTATATTCATTTTTATTAATATTTAAGAGAATATCTCTTAATTAGTTATTATTAATTAGCTTAATTAGTACCTTAATAATCTTCTTGATTGTTGGATGGGAATTAGTTGTAGCATTGCTTTTGTTGGAATTGTGAACACAGCTCCCTTGATACTTACTATTGGTATTGGTATTGGTATTGTTATTGTTATTATTATTATTCACTTCAGACTCGAGTCCAGCAATCTCAGATTTTAGCTTCTTCGCCTGCATTTGTAAGTCTTGCACGTACAACACCGCATCCCCGACTATTGACGCTTTGTCCATCTGTATACATACACACACACACACACAAATAATTAATGTATTAATTATCACAATAGCTTCCATTTATGCATGTGCATGTATGATCAAGACAATGAAGGTTGGATTGTAGTACTAATGACTTACTAAAACAGATAGCTATGGAGATTAATCGCTAATATGAAATATCTATTAGCTAGCTAGGTTTTAGGTTTATTTTTCTTGGTATATTCGACGTATCGGAGATAGATGGATGACGAATATTAAATGATGTTGGAATTAATGCACTTTCTAGAAGTGTATCCACATGCATGTACAATGTATGATAGGATACATGAGGCAAATACATGAATACTTACATACATGTATATCTAGGATTCATGATGAATATATTTATTATGATGCATGTACTACTTGTGCCTAGATTAGTATAAATAGGTGTAAGATTGTATTTGTAATTTAACATGTATTAGCAAGAGTAAAATATGTAGGAGATACGTACTCCTCAATTATTTCCTTGTTGATCTTGTTCATATATTTCCGCAATATATCCAACAAATGATCTATTTGTCTTAATATATTACATGCATTATCAATACAAGATTAACTATTGAAATCATTTTCTACGAAATTTCAAATTGGAACGAAATTAATTGAGAAATTATTAATTACTAATTAAGTGGACAAATTTATTTAGTAAATTAATTAATTGAAAAACAGACCTTTGTAATATAAGGGACCAATGCACGCAAGGCGTAGAGCTTCTCCTTCATCCTGCCACGCCGCCGTCTCTCCGAAATCAACGTCTTTGTTCGGTCGGACTTATGACCGCCCTTCTTCTGCTTCTTCTCCGACGTATTAGTGGTGGTTTCCGACGATTCCTCCTCCTCTTCCCCGTAAATGACGTCATCGTTATCATCATCGTCGTCATCATCCCTTTCCCCTGAAACGACGTCGTTTTGAAACTGATTGTTCACTGTATTAATAGTGTTATTAGCAAATTGGCCGCTCGTATTTGCAGCGTCGTCGAAAGAAACGAACAATTGATGATTTTCCGGCGGCGGCGGAGGCGGAGGTTCTGTCGGGTAAAGGTGGCCGTTAACAAAAGTGGCGGCGGCGTCGTCGGTGTCGAGATAGAAGACTTGATTCTGAACCTGGACGAGTTGAATGAGGTGATCCAAATCGTTATCCATGAAATCCACAATCCCGAAATCAGCGGCGGCGGCGTATTCTATTTCCTGGAATGGGATTATTCCTGTTATTTCTTCTCCGTATCTCTCCGCCGCCATTTTCCTGTTTCTTTCGCCGGAGATATTTTAATTTGTTCGCTTTTGATTGATTGTTTAATTAATGAGTATATTTATTTCTTCCGAATTTGTGGTTTGTATATATACAACAAGTCTAGCTGGTATGAACGGAACCCACAGTTATCTGTTTTCTGTTTTTATGGATTTAGTTTTTTTTAAAGAGTGGACAATTAAATCACTCTGCGCAATTAGCAGATATTATATTTAATTTAATTGAGATTACCTGGTTGACTTTTGTTCTTTTAAAAATAATATATATATAATATATTCTTGATTATAAATTAAACAGGTGTTTGTGTTTGACAAGGTAATTTATTTGTTCTCGTGTAATCGGAGACTGGGAGTTAAGGATGACATATAGTACAAAACCCTAGATTCGCTATGTAAATTAATTACATTTTATCCAATTTAAAATGAAAAAAATTGTCTCTGTTTTTTTTTTCTTTTTTCTTTTTTTTCCTTTGTTGTTTAAGAAGAAAACAAATCTATTTTGATAATTTTTTCATGTACGTGCGATCTGATTTGTGAACCAATTCAGTCAATCATATTCAGAAAAATCACCACACAAAGACGATTACGAATAATTAACCTTGATTACTCACGAATAATACAGAAAATCAAACCATGCACGCAACAAATTAACCACCACATAAACGGCATATAGTTGTTTGTTGGCTCTGACACCATGTTAAATATTTGTTCATCACTTATTAGCCAATTGATCTAGCGACCAATTAGTGTCGATCACCATTTGGCCGACATGAGGTTATATGAAATTACCATTTTGGCTCGACTCGACCACACTGAAGTTATATACAGCCAATCTCACTTATTCATGAGTTAAAAATAGTCCATCTACAATCATTCTAATAAATTATCATATTCAATTTATATTTTCAAAAACGTTATTTTTTTATTAGTGACTAATACCATTTATATCTCACCGTATACATGTTTTCATTAATGTACCAAGAATATTTAAATTTTTACACAAAATTCAATAAAATGAAAATAAAATAGAATTTCATTTCAATTGAGTGAAATCAAAAAAAAAAAAAAAAAAAAAAAAAACAATCCAATAAAATGAAGCCATTGGTCTATGTACATCCCCTCTTGAAGTGTATATTAATATGATAACATAAAATAATAGGTTGCAGCCCGCAAATAAAATAATTTAATATGTATTATTGAGGGGGTCAGGATAATTAATAATTTATAACATAAGTTTGTTTAATGCAAAATGCCTCAAAATTTAGACAAATGAGTGTAACATAATGTATTGTTTTTAGGTCGTGCGAATAATGACAAAGACAACTTTGTTTTTTAGTATTAAAAAATAAAAAATAAAAAATAAAAAAGACAAAGCCAACTCATTGACATTTATTATAAGTCCCTCAAATCAAAGAATGACAGCTCACAGCTAGGCCACATTCGTCTGATAATTACACAAGAGTCCCTCTACTTTGCCGATACATTACTACTGAGTCCGTATTTCTTTCAACACGTGGTGACTGTGTGTCCAACTGCTGATCAGCTCACAGTGGCACGTGCCCTACCCTAATAGTTCTGAGGTCTGGCTGGGGGAATGTTTTTTTTTTTTTTTTTTTAATACAAACCGGATAAAAGACTAATTATTTTATTTGTGGATTCTTTTAATAAAAAGATTGATGAAATTTATTTACGATTAATCATTTTCGCCTTTGGGCATAGAGTTGTTTGCTATTGTATTTGTTATTAATTAATTGAATTTTCATCTATAATGCGCAATTGCGCATTGTCCTATTTTTTTTAGTTGATATTTGCTGTTTATTTTTAAAAAACTAGCATTTTTTTCCCGTGTGATGCACGGGATATTATTTCAAAAGTGAAAAAAATAATCAATTTAATACAAAATAAGAAAATATAATACAGTAACATGGTAAAATTTAATAATATAGTATTAATTTTACATATTGAGATTTATAATCCAAATATATAGATTAAGATTTAACCATTAGAGCAACTCCAATGCTAAATATCAAAATTGGATTATCAAATGGTCATTTGATATTTAAGATAATATTTTAAAATACATTTAAAACTCATCTACTCCAACCATGGTTATCAAATTTTATTATCAATTGGAAGTTTTTTGATAATTTTATATGTAATTGCCACATCTGCAATTTGTGAATGGTTGGTTAGGTGGTTATTTTTTTGATAACTCAATATGCAGGAAGTATTTTTAGATCCAAAGAGGATAAATATCAAAATACAAACCCATTTTAATAACCCATCTGGAGAACAAAAAATTTAAACTTTAGGAGTCAAATGGTAGTTATGAGATTTGATAACTCATTTAATAACTCCATTGGAGTTGCTCTTAGGGTAGAATTCTTCACGGTTCAGTTTCAATTTTGATAATTGTTAAAATTATAGTTAATAATTAGAGAAAAAATATTAAAAATAAATATTTACAGAAATACCATTAGAGTTTTATTATGGTTGTCTAGCGTTTCTTTTTAAGATTAATTTGAGATATTATTGAAAAAATATATTTAGATATTCATAATTTATTTAATTAATGATTGAAAGAGTATTATGAGAAGGAAAAATGCCACGTTTCCAGAAGACAAGACAAGGTATGTATTAAATAATTTAATAAAACGCAATTATATTATTGGACCAAAGGCCAAAGTCCTAATGTCTCGTTTTGTTGTGAAGATAAAATTAAATAATCTAATAAAACTCAATTATATTATTAGATCTTTGATGATTCAATAAAATACATGACTGGAAGGTAAGATAAGATACATGATAACATAATATTTGATACTAATATTAAATAAAGTCCAATTATTTTGTTAATTATGACTAATCTTCTCAACCAAACTAGCAGTAAGGTTCAAAATTTGAAAAATCAATAGCATCTTTTTTCACTTGAAAAAAGTATAGACTTGGTGTTGTGAGTTGTGCACACGTGATTGGAGGCTATTTTAACTAATAAAACGTCCTATTTAATTTCCTCCTTTAATTCAAAATGTGGGGGTTCCCGCCCCTCGCTCTCATTGTACCACCTACTTTTTTAACTTTTCATTTAATGCTCCAAACTGATCCCCTTTTAATGCATTTGTCCACCTTTATTACAACCAAAATAAATACAAATATTCGGCAAAAGTAACTTTAACAACTAAAGATTTCATCCATCTTGTAATATTGAATTAATATTGAATTAATAAATAACCAGCTCTATTTGTACTACTGAAACTACCCCAAACGGATGTGTGACGAATCTGTTCTAAAAATAAATTAAGGGCCATGTTGACTATTTATTCAAAAAAAAGAGGGTCATGTTGACTTTAAGTAACTTTATATAGTATTGGTCAACCTTCTTAAGTCCAAAGCATCAGCATCCTATGCTTATGGGATAAAGTCAAGCCTCAAACTTTCTTGATTTCGATAACTGAAACTACTTGTGTCCCAAAGGCAAAATTTATTACGTACAGACAAACAAAAATTCTAGAAGTTTCCACCACCTGCAAATGTCTTGACCTTATCCAAACCAAAATTATGTTGCTAATTACCAATGGTTAGTTACACTAATTACCAATGTCCTTAGGAATGTCAAACTGACTCGTTGACCAAAAGTTTGCTCAAATATAAGTGGGTAACAAAACAGAAACACTTGTGCATTTAGACAAAAAAAAAAAAATCACCTCAAACCCATTGATCCATCTACCTATTTCAGTTCACAATTTACATGAAAATCATGATTAAAAAAAATCAAATTCTAAAAAATCATTGAGAAATTAAGGAGCATGGGATTACTCTAAGAATAATATCTCTGTCCATTGATTGTTCAATTTCGTTTGGTCTCAACATGTCCCCTCGTCGTCTGAAGATAATTTGGATTGAATTATAACCCGAGCTCCTGAAGCAAGCCTGTTGGAGTAAATGAAACAAAAAAGACAGGAAAAATTTCAACCTACAAGAATATAAAACGCAATGTAAAAAAACAAGTTGAGTTGAGGGGAGTCGGAATTTTTAACTTTCTTCAATCTTGATCACATTCCCGTTGTAAGTTCTGGAAGAATTCGGTTTGCTGGAGAGAGGATCGGTCATTCTCTTGCTCCCACCGTTGGATGTGCCAGGTGTTGTTGTTCTTGAACTTTCTGCTCTGTCGGACGAGATTCTTGGTCCGTCGGAAAGAGGGGATCTCATAGATTCGCATCTTGGCTGCTGCTTAGTTAGAGAAGCCTTGAGTGATCTGGGAATGCACTTTGTTCGTGTGGAACTACTCCCCTCTACGTTTTCTTCGGTTTTATCGAATCGCTCACTACTTCTGCACAGCCAAAAGGAATTTGTCTGTCTTAATATATGAAGCAGAGATTAAAATATTCATAAGACAATGGATTCATAAGAGGACCGGATAAATTCAACCCCAGTAGCTATAATTTTTTATTTTTTTTGCTTCGATTACAAGTGAAATACAGCAAATATGCAATTTTTGTGCAGTGTACATTAACTGTTCACCAGGTCCATGATCAAGATTCAAGCACTATAATGTATAACCATTAACCAACAGATATAGGTTGTACTTATGGCTCAAATTGTGACAACAGTAAACATCTGCATCTGGATAATTAATAATCAAAATCGTGACATGGGTCTTGAGTTGCATTCTTGAAAAAAAAAAAAAATTCACATAGGCAAGTCACGGAGATTTCTCAATAACACACATTATAGGATAATGAATAGAATGTAAATTGCGGTTCAGAGAAGTGACTGACCTATCAGCATTGAATGAAGAAGACCGTTTAAGTTTGGGCACTCCTTCCTTAAGCATACTCATTTCAACCAAGCTCCCACTAAAGTACTCTTTCTGTTCCAACGTAACGCCCATGTGGCGTGGATTATCCGACATGCAATCAAGGTCCCCCAACATCACAGATGTCGAGAACAAGGGTGACTGAAATTTCGAGTGCGAAAACCTCGGCTTGTACGTCGGAATAAGGCCAAAGCTGTGATCTTTAACAGATATGGAACCACAAGAAATCAGTTGCATTATCATATTCGAAGCCTTCAATTTCGCATGTGACGGCATTCGAAACTCCTCCTCTTCGAGTATCCTGAAGCTGTTGAGCTTCCTCGCATCGGCTATAATGAGAGACTCCAAGGTATCGGTCCTGCCACTGGAAGAAGAAGCACTGGAGGTAGATGGAGGAGGGGAAACGAGGTTTCTAGAAGTTGCCGGAATGCCTTTTATTACCCTAGGAACTTCGTTTTTGGGCTCCAATAATGCCTCATCGGTTGAAACACCTCTTGTACAGGTGTCACGATTTGCAACGGCTCTGTTGGAGTTTTCTTCGGTTTGAGTGGAGGCATCTGCAAGGCCGTCACTCTTGTAGATTTTGTACTCAGTGAGGCTCAAAGAACCATTCCAAGAGGAGTTTTTCCCGTTGATGAATTCTGGAGAAACGGACGATGAGCATGGACGCTGATCTGGTGGAGATACTTCGTCTTCTTGAGAAGTCTTTGTGGTTGTGCCGTTCAAGCTGGACGAAGAAGAAGATTCTTCGTGGCTTCTAGAAGATGGTGGCTCTGGAAGTGCTTTCTGATTCTGTAGTATAATTGTCTCTGCAGGGCTGAAGTTACCTAAAAAAAATCAAGAAGTGTCGATTTTGAAGAAAATTTCCGGTTACGTAAAGATATAAAGAAGTTCTATCAATTATGAGCCAGTTTCCATAATTGAGTGCCTCGCTAACTTCTAAGTTCTAACTACAATATCTGAACAATAAATGAACAAGTTTATATATTGAATTCAATAAAAATATAGTGGAGGTTGATAAAAACAATCAGATAAAAGGATAATTAATGACTTTACCAGAATTGGATTCTTCGAAGAGCTCTGAGCCCTTGAGGACGTACTCATTTCCGTGAGCCGGAAGGATTAAATCGTCATCGCAAAGATCGTGCCACACAAATCCATTCTTATAACTCCTGCATCGACAAATTACACTTAATATATAAGACAAAACACAACTATGAAAATAAAGGGAAAAGGATAATTCAGTGGGACCGTGTTCACCTCTTGCAAGACCACGAATACATCGAAGCCATGCCTCTGCCTCTCAAAACATTAAGCCTTTCGGTTACATCTTCAAAGCAAACATATAATTTTCAAGACGAACAATATTATTTACTGTATAATCGAGAGACTTATTACACAGGTAGAAGTGAAGTGCATTTAGTACCTCTTAAGTAAAGCCCATCGGTAGAAGAGATAGGGACTTCCATGAAATGAGGATGCTCGAGTTGTCGATTCCTGCATAGATAGTACACTACCGGAACTTTGTGATTGTGCTGCTGCTGATTGTAATTATGATTGTAGTGATATTTCGGTGATTTTTCTGTCCATACTTTAGCTCGTTCGGGGCTCACTTGCCTGTATTTCTTCATTCTCCCCTCCATTTTCCTTTTTTTTTTTCTTTTCCGCAGCAAAATCCAGTCGAAACTGTATTTACTCAACAATCACAGTTATCTACAACAACTCAACACTTGTTTGAAGTATGCCTTCAAATGAAAGCCATGTAATCTCGACCATCAGAGCTCAAAATCCTGCAACATACTAAAATAGAAATCTACATTTTAGGCAACATCGTTGAATAATTTGGGCTTGGTATAACTGCAATAGATCTGGCTATGACCTAAAATGGCTTTAATTCGTTAAAAAATTAAACTCCAAACAAGGAAGCGAAAACCTCCTAAAATCGAGAAAATTGCAGAATAGTCCCTTCAAATCTCCCTTTTACAGCTCGCAATTATGGAAGAAAACAATTTCACACAACCACACGAACTGTAATTTTCAAATTGAACACGAAAATGAGTGAAGAGAGAGAATTAAGACGAAGGCCAACCTGGGAGAGAGGGAATGAAAGCAAAAAAAAACAGGGAAGATGGCATTCAATGCTGCAGCAGCATAGTACTCGCCCAACCCATCCTTGCAGTGTGTGTTGAGAGAGAGACTAATCAGAGGAAATGACAGAGTGGCGGAGATGGAGAAAGTGACTGAAGTAGGGGTGGGGGTGGCGCGTGGCGCGTGGAGATGAGAAGTTAATTTCAATGAAAGTATGGTTTGGCCTTTTGCCTGGGGTATTAAGGGGAAGAAGCCCCCAAATGGATCTTATTGGCCTTTTCCTGATTTTGGGTTCCGTCCAAATCAAACTCCGTTTTGTTTTTTTGTTTTCCTTTTTTTAATAGAAAAAAATAAATAGTTTGTTGAGAAAATTATTTATTCGAATCTGAGTGAATCGACACGAACTCACCTGCTACCGCAGCTAGGTATTCCGTGCGGAACTCCTCAAGTATTTATGGGTGCTATTTGGAATGCAACAAGGCAAAATGCATATTGAAATTTCGTAGTAGTGTATTTTGCTCAAATTATCCTTATTCGATTAATTAATTAGTTTAATGTTTTGTTCGTTAGATTGGATTTTGTTTATTAAATTTCATTAAATTATGGTATTATATGTGATATATATGTCTATAATTTCTTTTATGTAACAAAATTAAGATGCTAAAATAGTTTTTAGTTAGCAAATATCAGCCAAAGTGCTCTAACTAGTCTAATTTAATGAAATAATAATATTTAATTGCGTGTGTTTTAACTTTTGTAGCGGATTTCCGCAAGTAAGAATTTTGTCAACAATGGACGTATGTCGTAGAAGCCTCTACTATCTAGTCAATACTCAATAAAACCTAATGATAGTAATTGAACGAGAACTAGGGTTTATCATTTAGTTGGTTAGAGAATAAAGATATGTTATTTAATTAAATATATGAAAAATGATAAATAAAATAATTAGGTGAAAAATGCTCCTGTACTAAAAATGCTTAAATAAATGTTTCAATAATTGATTTCACTTTTAATAATATGATCATATAATTCAAAATAGCAGTGGTCACAGTCACGAGTGAGCTTGTAAATGGTCCAGGCATGAGATGTTAACAGTTAACTCAATTACAAGATCCATAAAACGCGGGAATTTGCATATATGCTCCACTGTTTATAAATTATTACATTATTAAACTCATTACAAAATAATTGAGCAATAAAACCTCCAATAAATCGATAATTAATTAATACTAGCGTATATGATTGGTTAGTTGGAATATTAATTATTTCAATTCAGATAAAATGTTTAGGGTAAGTTCCATTTTCCCCCTTTTACTTTGGCTCAATATTATGTTACCTCATTCTACTCTCAATTGCATCGATTTGCCCCCTTATATTTGAAAAATTGTCTTATTATGACACTCGCCGTTAGTTTTCAGACCTTTAACTTTAACACCGTTTGATCTAAGTCTGAAAAATTAAAAAAAACCACCCCTCCCAGTTTAAATAATTACTAAAAAAGAAAATTGAGACAATTTTTCAAGTAAGTAGGGACAAAACGATGCAATTAAGAATATAAGTGAGTAAAGTGATACCAAGTTAAAGTACAATGGGAAAAAGTAAAATTTAGCCAAATATTTATATTGGTAGGAGACAAACAAGATATCAACAATTTTAAATTCTTAATTGGGCCGACTGCGGGCCTTATTTTATCCATCCCATAAGACATATGGGCCTTAATGCTTTGTATTGTTGCCCTGATTAGCTCAATTTGCTATTTGAGGCCCCCCTCCCCTTTATTTAAAAATAAAAATAAAAAATATATTTTTTTATATAAAATCCTAATTAATTATTTGAAGTTTGGATTGTTCTAATTAATCGCGGGTTATTGCAAATAAAATTAGGATTTGATGGAAGTTTAATTAATTGCGGGATAAATTACCAAACCCCCTGAACTTAGGCTAAATAACAAAAAACACTCCACCAATCCGTAATAACTAAAATCCCCATCTGATTAATTGTTGATTGAGTTTTTAATGGAAAATGTGTACAATCTACTATATCTTCTTTTAAATATGTGAGAAATAAAAAGAAAAATCTAAAATTGTGTAAAGTCTATTCGTTGGAATAAAAAAAAAAAATCCGTGAAAAGTTACTAAGTTGGGATTGGTGTAAGACCGAAAAAAATCTCAACGGATTTTTGGTAATTACGAATAGTGGGGTATTTTGCATTATTTAGCCTAAGTTCAGGGGTTTTCGTAATTTACTCTTAATTGCGGGTTATTGTTTATAGCTCTATTACATAATGTTATGCATTAATAGCAATATTACCCATTAATGTGATTAATAATTTGCTGCAATCATTTTCTTTTATTTCGTACCAAAAGTAAAGGGAAAGAAAAATATTTTCTTGAAGACAGGGTCAATTTCCGAGAAACGACGTCGTCAGGCGTAGAACCTCTGATTCATCCTTGGACCCCCAAAACCCCGGCGTAAGGATTTTCGCTCCAGAAAAAAAAGGAAATCCTGCAATTTTCCCGCCATTTCTCTGTTGATGTTTTCACTCCGGTCATGCAGCCACCGCTCGATCTTAATCTCATTCTCTATTAATCTCGCCGGAAAACTCCCCCTCTCCCCCCTTTTGCTCTCTTCGAAACCGTTACTCACATTCACCAAGTCAAACCCTAGACTAAGAACAATGTCCACCTCTCGCCCCTCCGCGTTCGATGTTCTCATGTCAAATGCTTCGAAGAAAAAGAAACCCCCCCCTCAGCCCCAATCGGCAAAAACAAAAGAATCCTCACCCAAGAAACGCAAAGCCTCTGTTGCAATTCCCCAAACCCCTCTTTTGAACCCTAAAGTTGGTAGTTCCCTAGGTCTAGCTTCCAACCCAATCGGAAATGCCGTAGAAAAGCACCAAGAAGATGTCAAGAGCTCGAATTTGGTCAAAAATGGAGATGCCCATATGGATAATTCATTGGATAATAGTGCTGATGGTGCTGTTAGTTCTATCCCGGTTGAAGAATCAAGCTTAAAAGAAAATGGGAAAAAATCTACTGATTTGAGTGAAGGCTTGGTGGTGGAGAAGAAGGCCCGCGTGTCGATCAGCCCCGACGAGAGTCTAACGGAGTTGAAGAAAAAGGCTGCGAATTTTAATGTGAAAAAGGCGGCTTTTTGGGGGCAAGGGGAGAGGGTTCCTTTCATGTTTGTGGTGAAGACTTTTGATGCGATATCGAAGGAGTCAGGTAGGATTGCCATCACGGAGATTGTGTGTAATATGCTGAGGACAGTGATCGAAACTACACCGGATGATTTGTTGCCCGTTGTGTACCTTTTGGCGAATAGGATTGCGTCTGCGCACGAGGGTTTGGAGCTCGGTATTGGGGACTCTTCGATTATCAAGGCTCTTGCCGAGGCTTGTGGGGCTAAAGAAGCCCATATTAAGAAGCAATACAAGGTGATTCGTTGAATAAGTTATTTTCGCAAACTGAAGTTTGATTAGTTTGGGGTGTGAAGAATAATGAATTTCTCGTACTTTTGAGATATTTCTTGTGGCATGGTAGAGTCAATACCATCTGGCATGAGTAATTTATGCTAAATATCTCTAGGAATGAAGACATAGGAAATATCATTGTTGAAACAAAACGATTTTTGCAAAATAAAATACATGAATCTGATTGTTTAAGAGCATTTTTCATGCTGAGCATCGTCTATGTCGTGGCATGTACTTCCTCTCGAAGATAGCATGCCATTTTGTATTACCTGTTATTTTTATTTATTTATCTGATCTAGTTATTATGGTTATATACCATTAAACTATCGCGAATCTTTCCATCTTCCGAATTATTTCCCTTTCCTTTGATTACGGATTTATTAGATTTCCTTGTTTTAATGTTTCCTCGTTGCAGGAGCTTGGAGATTTGGGCCTTGTGGCAAAAGCCAGTCGGTCATCGCAGCCTTTGATGCGTAAACCAGAAGCGTTAACTGTTATCAAAGTCTTTGATACATTTCGGATTATTGCTAAGGTACTCAATTATCATCATGACTATTTTATTAAGTTTTAATTTCTTTTCTCTTTATTTCAATTTATCTTTTGTGTGAGCTTTCTCACAGGAATCGGGCAAAGATAGTCAAGAGAAAAAAAAGAATCACATAAAGGCACTACTAGTTGCAGCAACTGATTGCGAACCTCAGTATCTGATTCGTTTGCTCCAGGTCAATTATATTTAAGTTTTGTGACTTTCCATTTGATCCATTTCACATATTATAAACTTGGTTTGTACAATATATGCAGACAAAATTACGTATTGGTTTGGCAGAACAAACTCTCTTGACAGCACTTGGGCATGCGGCTGTATATTCTGAGAAGCCTTCATCTCCTCGGTCGAAGGTTGATAATCCTCTAGAAGAAGTAAGTCATTCTATCTAAGTATCTGAGTACCTTAATTTGAGTCAAAATTTGCTTTAATTTACTGGATCGAAATTTAGCTTTCTAAAGATGTGCTACTTTTCAATGTACTTGTTTGTTGACCTGGCTGGATGTCTAGTCCGAGCTTCTTTGTCTGTTCTACCATGGTTGTGTTAATATACGAAAAGTGCAGCAAATCGTATTGATATATTGGATCTTCAGATATATCTATTCCATGTTCCTTACGTCGTATTGAAGTTGACATGTTATATATATTCTTACAACCATCGTTAGTATAGTTCTTACTTGGGCTTAATCTTTATACTTCAACTTTCGCAGGCTTCGAAAATTGTCAAACAAGTGTATTCTGTAATTCCAGTCTATGATCAAATAATTCCGGCTCTTCTTTCTGGTGGCGTTTGGAATCTCCCAAAAACATGTAGCTTTTCTCCTGGTATTCCTATCGGACCAATGTTAGCTAAACCTACCAAAGGAGTACAAGAAATTGTGGACAAGTTTAACGATACAGAGTACACCTGTGAATACAAGTACGATGGAGAACGAGCTCAGGTAAAATATCTAATTAAACAAAATGCTGAAGCTACTGAGTGATTTTATGCTATAATTGTGAACTTTCATATGTAGATACACTATATGGAGAATGGCTCGGTGGAGATTTACAGTAGAAACGCGGAGCGTAATACTGGAAAGTTTCCTGATGTTGTTGTTGCTGTCACAAGGTATCTTTAAAAACTTAAAGAGTCATAAAAAAAAGTTTGATAAACTGAAAAGCATGTGTTAGCTATCATTGTGTTAGAATTGGTATTTTTATCCTATTTGTGTGGAGTTTTATTCCTAAAATACTGATGCAATGTATTGGCAATGTAATTTAGAAGCTACTTTAGTATGTCGTAGATTGTTAATAATCTATTGGCAATGTAAGGTTGTTTAATATTCGTTTTATTTAATCTGTAAGAATGGTAACTTCTAAGAGATTTCTTCCATTTGTTGTCAATTTCCTTGAACGTTTTTGAGGTCTACGGACTGAGATATATTAATTTTGTCAGTTACTAATAGTCACTATCCAAGTGCAGATTAAAACAGCCGTCTGTAAAATCATTTGTTCTTGACTGTGAAATTGTTGCATATGATCGTGAGAAGCAGAAAATCCAACCTTTCCAGGTGAAAAATCTTTCGATAATGTATTTTTTTAACTTAAATTAGAATCATATTATGTCCATTCATTTCCCTTTCTATTTCTGTCTTGGTCAGATTCTCAGTACACGTGCTCGGAAAAATGTGGTGATGACTGATATCAAAGTCAATGTTTGCATATTTGCTTTCGATATACTTTATCTTAACGGCCAAGAACTCATGCAAGAGCAGCTTAGTGATCGTAGAGAAGTAAGATATCCTTATGCCTTGATTATCTTAGTCTCCATCATCTACGTTTCCTCGTTAATTTTACTGGATGAAGCTTCTGTGTCTGTAAACAAATTTTTTTCCCTGTTATGTAGTTGATGAACAATTATTTATGCTTGTCATAGTTTTGGTGCTTTCCGTGTGATAAAATTAGTTTTTTCAGAGTATAGTTCGGACTTTGAATGTTGTCTTTCATGAATGGATAATTAAGTTGAGTGCCAATAAATTCTGCATCTGTCTGTCTTAATTATTATTTTACTGCAAATTTGAACTGTCGTCGAGTACCTCATTTATCTTTCGCTTGGCATATGATTATATTTACTCTCCTCTCAATTCTATGTGTGCAGCATCTTTACAAGTCGTTTCAAGAAGAACAAGGTTTTTTCCAGTTTGCCACTGCTCTAACGTCAAAGGATCTTGAGGAAATACAGAAATTTCTTGAAGATGCTGTTAATTCTAGGTAATAAGACTTACTTTCAAGCTTTACCTGATCTACTAAATTTGTTGATTTTTTTTAACTTAATGACTCAGTCGAGAAAGCTGCTAAGTCATGTAAAGAATTTTCATATTCTTTATTAACTCGTTTGCTTTCTGTTTACCAGCTCTGAGGGGTTGATCATCAAAACATTGAACAAAGATGCAACTTACGAGCCTTCAAAACGGTCCAATAACTGGCTCAAATTGAAAAAGGATTATATGGAAAGGTAATCCCTTAACCTCCATAACTGGTTTATAGTAATAAATATTGCTTCAGCTCAATGCAAGGTTGTACTAATGTTTTATTATATGCAGTATTGGCGATTCACTAGATTTGGTTCCGATTGCCGCGTTTCATGGCAAGGGGAAACGAACTGGTGAGTCATTAACTAATGTTTTATTCAGATTATTGATATGTGACAGAGCAGTGTCGATGGTTTCTGTTGCTTGTAATTACCGACACTTGTTTAAGGTTGAGGCTTTCTCTTTGTGTAACTGTCCAAACTCAAGTTGCGATTTTGTTTACTGTCTGTAGGTGTTTATGGTACCTTTCTGCTTGCTTGTTATGATAGCGATAAAGAGGAATTTCAGAGCATATGTAAAATTGGTAAAGTTTACTCCTTGATATAAGTTGCGATTCCCCTGTAAAAAACTCGTTTACATATTCATATTTTTATGTATTTTAAGCAATGTGGGAACTTTTGGTTTTTATTAGGAACTGGATTTTCTGAAGTAATGCTTGAAGAACGTTCCACCAGTCTTCGCTCTAAAGTTATTCCCAAGCCAAAGGTTGGATTAAAATCTTTTTTTTTCTTTTTTTTTTTTTGGAATGTGTGTTTTCCTATGGAATTCTCGATCTTCACATTTCTTTATCATACATGCTGTGTCCAGTCATATTACAGGTACGCTGAGACAACCAGTCCAGATGTATGGTTTGAACCAACCGAGGTAGCATATCTTCATCTTTTATTTATAGATGGTTTCTAGATTTGGTTTCCGGCGTTTTTGTTTATTGTTCGTTTTCTTTTTACAGTACATTTTTTGTAACTTGTTATTTTTCTCTAGAAAAGGTCGTATGTATAATTCCATCAGTTGATGTGTATTAATATCTAACCATCCTACTCATGTTTGTCGTATTGTCTTTTAGGTCTGGGAGGTCAAAGCTGCTGATCTTACGATTAGCCCTGTTCACCGTGCTGCTATTGGTATTGTGGATCCTAACAAGGTACTACTTAATTCTCTTAAGAGTACAAACATGCTTATTCACTTTTAGTGTGGTGATAACGATTATATTTGTGTCGGAAATCTAGTCTCGAGTGAACTTGGACTGAGGCAATGGGCCCTTTGGAAGTTAATAATTTTTAATAATTTGTTGAATTCATTCCACATATAGATGCTTTTCATACTCTGAATTTATTTCCTCCCTTAACCTCCGCAAATCCAGTCCAAACAAGCGAATTTCTTTTAAATGAGGGTTTCTGTTTCGTTTAATGTGGTATGGTCGTAATACTCGATAAAGTTGGGGATAAATCAATCTCTGAGTTTAGGAGTCTCATAAATACCTAACATTTTCATCTTGTTTGTTCTATCTTTACAAAGGGATTTCACTGCAATCCGTGATC